TTTTTGTTTTTGCTTCTCCCTCTTTTGATTTTTCCCCCCCCCCCCCCCCCCCCCCCCCCCCCGGCGTGGTCCTAGTACTCGTCTGTATCCTGCTCTGAAGATGTGATTAATCACTTCAGAGCGTCTCTTAAATGTCACTCCAATACTTGACTGTAATCTGCTTGATAAATGTGTCCAAACACTCGCACTCAGCAAAGACCTTTTGTAATCCTAGATTGGGTCTGAAGTGTAATTCTTAGAAGTTTGATAAATTCGGGTCCTGAGCTGAACGAGTTAGTTCAGTTTGTTCCTTGAGTCCGTCTTTGTCCTCCTTAAATGGACGGGGAGGTTTAGACTACAGGGAGATGGAGGCACAGGACAGGGGGATGCACAGAGGATACATGAGGGTCTGTATTAGTATGCCGTCTGCAGAGCGGCGACATCGACCGATTTTAATGAAGTGCTTCTGTTCACAAAGCTCTAATAGCGGCTACTCCCCCTCCACATCCCTGGCTTTAACCCCACTGTCCTCCCTCTGTCCTTTCTCCCCGTCCATCTGGCCTCTCCTCCCTCAGTTGGTCCGTCCTCTCCGACTATTTCATCTTTTACCTTCTCCGTCCATCTGTGCCGCCCTCCTCCTTTACTAACCTTGTCTTTTTATTTACATCCTTTGAGGTCCAGCATCTCACAGTTTCTTCCTCAATACACCATCTCTGTCCAGTTTGCTTAACACTGCAAGTTCCTTGTCCACGTTCCGTCAATTTAGTCATACCGTCATTAGGATTAAGTGCTTTCATTGTTGGTTAAGAATTTGTCTGCAGTTTTGTCAAAAAAGTGCCGACATTTTTTGTCGTCTTTGGGTCTGAATTGTGAAACTTTTACTCCTCAGAGGGATTTTTTTCGACACATTTTAAACACACCTTGTGTTACTTTTTGTGCACTAAGGTACGTTAGCTGTGTGGCAACATGTTGCGCTTTTGACAAATTGTGCTGAAACTTGAGCTAAAATGTGTTTTTCAGGATTTTCTCCAAGTCGCCTCAAGTCATTAACGGATGATGACTTGAAGGCTGTGAGGCAAGAAGTAAGATTTGAGTCAATTTAGAGTACAGCAACCTGCAAAAGGAAAGAGTTTTCGCACAATGTCTGAGTAGTTTCTGCGAGGTTAGGATGTTCAGCTGCCATTGTGGGACGCCAACATGTAAAGTTTCTATGTTCCCCTTCGATGAAAATATGGATCCAATTGGTCGCGTAGAAGCATGCACCGAAAAAAAACGGTAGATTTGAGTCACCTTATGTAACACTCGTCTCCTCACCGCATCGTCTAGAACAGCAGCACTGCAGTTCTATTTAAATGCGCCAGCTGCTCGTTTAAATGTCATCAACTCCAATGTGACTCGTGATGGTTCACTCAGAGGCCAGTCGGCTCCCCAGAGGGGGTTTGGAGTCCCCGTCCATGACCTCCCACCCCGGGCTAGAAATCAGTGTTGCAGGGTGAGTTGGGGAATCCTGGCTGAGTCACTGTCAGTGTGAATCTCTTCGGGTTGAGAAGAGATGAAGAACTGCTCATTATACTAATCGTACACTCTCAGAAATACAGGCGCTGACTGAGACCATATAGGGTTCTTTGGATTGTCCTCACAGGAGAATCCTGTCTGTAAAGGTTCAACCTGGAACCCTTTCAGATGGTTCTACCTAGAACCCAACATAGAGGGTTATACCTAGAACCATCTGGGAGAGGTTCCACCTAGAACCCCCTATGAGAGGTTTTACAGAGGACCCATCTATGGTATAATGGTTCCACCCATAACCTTCTCTAAACGGTTCTATCCAGAACCTTTCCACCTTCTAAGGCCCCCGATCACACCGAGACGCGTCGCATTGGTGGTTCTCCACCCGAACCATGATTTAGTTTCTCTTGGGCAATTTGAACCGCGTCCAACAAGGCAGTGGGCTTAGAGAACCCACATTTCAAACAATTCTTAAAGAGTTATTTGGTTAAAAAGGGTTCTTAATGGAACCACTAGTCTTATAAGGAACCCTTTTCTTCAAAAGAGGATTTTTCTGCGTACAACCTCATTCCTTCAGGTAGAACCCTTTTGGAACCCTTATTTCTAAGAGTACACCCACAGACCAATAATGCAGCAGCCAGCATGTCTTTCCTCATCCTTCTCAAGGCCACTTTACATTTAAAGGAGTACTGATATCTGCCTCCCTCCCCCCCCCCCCCCCCTCTCTCTCTCTGTGTGTCTCTCTCTCTCTCTCTCTCCCTCTCCGTCTCCCTCCCCTTGTTCTTGTTCTCATTCGCTCAGCTTTGTACCGTGCTCACCGAGCTCTCAGTCCTGCAGTAATTGAATGTGTTCTTGCCGCATATCCGTGCAATTACTTGCTGCTGTCGAGAGCAATTCAGCACACGCAGCAACGTTCAGCACAAATCGATGTCGTTCAATATCCCTTACGGCGCTGTTTGGACTCGGCGGGACAGAAAACGCACATTTGTTCCTCGAGGGTGTACAAAAGAGGAAGACATTCAGCTTCTTCTACCTTTCAGCAGATGGTGAACCAGAGCGCTGTGAGGAAACATGAATGTCCAGAAAATTGCCTATTGGACCAAACTTCCTTCTCTTTGTGTTTTATCAGCTTCAGTGTGAAAACAATATAATATCTGATCAAAAGTCTGTAAAATAGAGAAATGACTAAAGGAGGGTTTTCATTATTGATTTATTACTTCCTTGATTTATCAATTCATAATATTTTATATGAGATGTCAGAGAACAGCGATGAACAGCCCAAAGAGATTCAGTTTATGATCATAAGACAAAACAACATGAAAATAATCACATTTGAGAAGCTTGAGGCAACAAATTACATTATTAATTGATCATTAAAATAGTTGCTGTTCTGTCGAGTCTACTGGACGCTGCTGCACTTTATAAAGACAGTCGAGCTCCAGTAGTGATGGTTTAGTGATGTAACGTGAGAGACGAGGGAGAGTTGTAGCTCCCCCCCGGTGTGCTCTCCCTGAGGGGGGAGACGTTACATGGAGCTAACGAGAGGTTTCATCCCACTTCAACATGTAATAATAACAACATCTCCTAATTCAGCTCACTCGTTGTTGTTCTTGGCGCTTCATTTAAGACAAGAGGTGTAGTATCAGACAGGATTATTAATGATTCAGTGTTGCTATCAGGTACTTAAACCACCATCATCTCCTGTTATGTTGCAAGCCGCTGAGTCGCTGCACCGATGCAATCGGGGATTAAGTGCCTTGCTTCACGGCACTTCAGCGGTCGGCGTTGAGGGAGAGAAGAGCGCTTCTCATGCAGTTCCACGTGCAGATTTCTACGACGCTTTTCGGGGCGTTAAAGCCGGCGACGTTCTGGTTTTTTGCTTGATTTGTTTTATTTGTTTGTTTTTTAACCGATGTTTCTATGACGATGAATGACTCCTGTTCTCACATCATCTTCATCAGGTCACATCATCTTCATCAGGTCACATCATCTTCATCAGGTCACATCATCTTCATCAGGTCACATCATCTTCATCAGGTCACGGTGTTTTTATTAAGGACGCTTTGTGGAGGTAGAGCGCAGTAACTACAGAGAGAGGGAACTATGTTGACTTTGAACAAAGGAGGGTGGTGTTTCCATCATGTTTTATCCAAAACACATTTAAATAGATGGAATTGTGTTCAGAGACACCGCCCTCCTTTAACCCTCGGGGGGGAAACTGTATATTTACTTAGATTTACAGGAGAATAGCAGTTTACAGCAGTACAGTGTATTTCAGCAGATGTCTGTTTGTGGAAATGGAAGAAAGGTGCTTGAAGAAAACATACTGTCGTGATTTATTGTCGCTTATTCATATTACTCATGGAACACACATAAAGACAAAGTATATGTACATGAGATTTGTTAGCCTGTGCTGGACGCTGTCTGTCCAACCGCTCCTCTGTTTGAAACGTATTTATCACACTGTATGTGTCACAGAGGGTTTGATGGTTACTGTATGCAGACCTGGGACAAACTGCCACTGAAACATGCTTCATCTACGCTGGTGGTGCGTTGGATTCGTCCGTCTCTGCGTCCACACCTGCCACCACTTAATCCTCGTCTTTCTCAATGTCACCATGTGTGCGTCCGTCATGCAAGCATTACTTTCACTTCAAAAGATGAATGAAGGAGCTTTGTCTCCACTGCGGCGGGCAGATACGTCCAAACTATAAGAAGATAAGAGGAGCTGTTCTCCTGTGGTGTCTTCACCTCGGGGGCCTTTTGTCCCAGGTCTGGTGGTGGTCTGGTGGTGGTCTGGCAGTGGTCTGGTGGTGGTCTGGTGGTGGTCTGGTGGTGGTCTGGTGGCTTTGGACAACAGTGAGTTGCCTTTAAAGCTAGACTTAGTTATCACATATCGCCACTCCTCAAACCGGGGTGACACTTGCCAAAGATGGTACATCTGCGTCACGATAAGGAGGGACAGTGTTCAGTTGGTACACTTTCAGCTAACTCTAATTAATTGGTGCCATAACTTTCTTTTACCAAAGTAACTATTTTACACAATGCACTCCAGGTCTTTCTGCGTGGTTTTAATACAAGGGGAGCATATTGTTTAACAAACATAGTTGTGTTCCCCATCGCTTCCATCAGAAGAGATGGCAATTAGGAAACGGAGGAATGATTACAGCAAGCAGAACCTTTGTTAATATATTCAGACTTAAAAATGTATTATACAACCTGAAAAATAAAAGTAAATGTAGTTTACTCAACCCAGTCGCCAGAACAAAAGTTACAGATACGTTTCATATCAGTCTTCAAAATATCATGAAGTTATTCCGCATAAAATTAGCCGAGTGCTTGTGTGTATTTTTGGAGCAATGGGCCTTCAGAACAATGGGAGTTTATTTTTGGGATAATGTAATAAATGGGCATTCGGTCCAATGTGACAACATCCGGACTATTGGGCCGTCACCGTTTAGTTTAGTTTTCACACGGGACATGAACAGCGGCCTCCCGGGTGAAAGTCCTGTGTGTGTTTGACACATTCACCCCCAATCCCCCTCATCCTCAGTGGACTCTCTCGCTTGTTATTCTCCTTATTAAACCACATTCATTTCAGTAACATGTTGTCCTGGTGACTGGGCTGAGTTCACCGACCTATTAAGGTTCATTTAGCCTTCGTTTAATGTGTATTATAGACTACAGTCGCTTTGGTAAACTAATCCAAAACAATGAATGGCATGAAAAACAATCACTGAACACCAGTTTGTTTAAATAGTAACATTCACCACTCACTCTGTAAGTGCACCCACTGAGTTAAAGCTCGTATTTCCTGTACAAAAATTGTTTTATAACTAAAATCACATTTCACCACTTTCAGTGAATCGGCACAAAGTTGCTCAGAGTTTGGAGTGTGGCTTCATGTGTCTACGTCTTCCTTTAACTTGCCTGTTGTTGCCTTTAGTTTCTAACGTTCTCTTTTCTTAAAAAAACAAATATGTGTACGTAGGTGAATAAAAACATATCAAAGGTAGTCTGGGCAGACGTTTTGAAGTAACGAGATATATTGATATTGATTGGATAATATCACTACTACTACTTCTTCTAGGGAGATTTTAACAGATATAGCTTTAAGAGAGATTCATTTCAGTTCGTTTTCTTATAAAGAAAAATAAAAGTTTTCTGTAAATACCTTATTACTCTTTCTTTGGTTTTGGGTTTTTTGACTAAATGAGTTGATTATAAAATCAAAAAGAAAAAAATCTGAGCTTGGCTCACTTCTTTACATGCGAGTTGATGCACCATTTAGTTTGAGGATTGTTTCTATAGAGTCATCACGTAGTCCTCTCCAGTCGGACATCAGCTCATGTAAATATGAAGACCAACAAAAGCTTCTGAAAGGTTTTGTATTTATATTTCTCTCTTATTTAAGATGAAAGTCATCATCCTTTGCACATAATGTTATACCATTATTATGACAGTGCTTATATTGGATAGGCATGTTTACGTTTATGATTATTACCAGTTTTATTTCTGATGAGATTATTTAAAATGCTAACATGACTGGAGCAGAGATGATTTATTTCTGTTTGTTTTGGTTTTACTGTCCCACGCGAATTATATACCAATAACACCATGTTCTGTTAACAATGAAATGTCAATAAAAGTGAAAAACTTTGTTGTTTGTAATACTGTTTTTAATGGATGGCATTCATGCTCGTGGATTTTTTTGTTTGTTTTTCAGTGATATCCAGATGTTCACTTTAAAGTCCATCTTGAATCTTCATGCAGTCATAGCCTTCTTCCAATTAGGCCTCTTTCTACACGGCATCTGTCCGTCGAGGCTGACGGTGGATCGGGCAGTCGCTACGGCAGTTGGAGCAGACAAATGGAGAGGGGCCTGTGAAAGAAATGGAGGTTTTTGCTCACATTTTTCCCCTCTGGCTCTTCTCCTTCAGCAAGAAGGTGCGCCTCTCCTCAGCACGACGAGTTCCTGCAACAACAGTCTGCCTCCAAACGGTCAGTAGCGGATTCCTCACAGTTGTTGGGGTCCTCAAAGCGCAGGCACGGGCAACCACCAGGTCTGGAGGCTGTCGAGGCAACGCTGGCTCAGCCTGGCAAACATGCTGGTGGACTGAGCACCATCCAGGACTTCTGTGTTGCGTACTTTCTCCTGCCACGTGATGCCCAAGATGCGGTGTGGGCATCACATGTGGAAGCCAGTTTTCTTGTCTGTTGTAAGGGGGTCCAGGTCTCACTGCTGTACAGCAGGTTGATGATAACGAAGGCTCGGTAGACCTGGAGTTTGGTGCGTACAGTTAGGTTCTTGTTGGACTACACTCTCTTGGACAGCTTGGCCATCACTGCGGTGAATCCAGTGAGGGTTGCTGGAGACTGTGGGGGGTTTTGACTTCCAGACACATTGGTCTTCTTAATGCTGATGATGACGGCGAACTCCTTACAAGCATGATGAGCGCTTGCCCATTAACCCCTGCACTCCTGACACTGTGTGGGATGCTAGCACTAAATTGTATGCAAATAGCATTTCCCTCAGGAGCATGCTGGTTACTTTGGACTTGGACTGCAAGCGGGCAAGCATGAAGAGTTTGCTATCAGCTCTGGTTTACAGGTAGACGGTTTCAGGAATAAAGCCAAATGCAAACAACTCCTGGAGAGAGAAGAAGATTCCGACGAGGGTCGGTGCCAGAATGCAGCTCTGCTTCACTCCGCTGTGGAATGGGAAGGCCTCTGAAATTTCTCCTTCAAAGCAGACTGAGCCCTGTGTCAGTAACTTGAAGAGACCATCGCTGCTTTAGGCCTTTGCGAGGTCGACAAAATACAAGGGTCTCCTCTGCAGCATTTCTCCTGCAGCTGTTGAAGGTTGAGGAACGCTTGGATATGCTTTGCCTCGATGACTGGCTCCATCACTGCTGTGTTGGCCTCAAACCTGCGTTCATCCTTCCTTTCTTGCAATAGTGCTGCGAGGGCATGGTCCAACATGGTATCGCTTAGGCGATTCCACTTGTCCACAGCACTTTGCTGTTTGGAGCCAGAGAGCGCCTGGTTGAGGGTAGGTGTGGAAAAGCTGGGTGACAGCTGGGTTGGAGGATGGTTGGACGGATGCGTGGAAGTGCCTTCTGCTTGGCATGGTGGATCTGCTTAGGCTGTAGCTTGACCTGGCAGAGGATAAACGAGTGGTCCGTGCCGCAGTCTGCAATATAAAGGTGTGGAAGCTGTTGAATGCCTCTCATCTGATGATGAGGTCGAGGTGCGTTTTGATTTGGGGTGTGTCCAGGAGACCCTGTGCAGAGGCTTGGTCTGGAGAAAGGTGATGCAGAGCTTGTGGTAACAACATCTATAACATTCTCTGCCCATTCCTCGTTCAGGTTCCCCACTCAAAAGTGACCAAGTCAATCTGGTGTGGATTCACGGTCAGTGCCTACCCAAGTGTTGAAGTCCCCAGCAGGAACAGGTGATCTTTCTTTCGGATTATACTGACCACCATGTCGAGCTCCTCGTAGAACTTTTCTTTTCACTGCGGTGGTGAGCAGAGAGTCGGGGCGTAAACACTCAGCAGGTTAGCTGGTCCACTGCTGATGGATATACAGATGGCAAGGACACATGCAGAGTCACCTATTGGTGGTTCAGTCATGGCAGGCAGGGTGTTCTTCGCTGCAAAGCCCACGCCGTACTCTTGGGTCTCCTCTGCACTCTGGTCATGCCAGAAGAAGGTGTAGTTTACTAGTTCTGCTCCAGCGAGCTGTGTCTTTTCAAGCAGCAACTTTGAGGTTGAGTCGGTCCAGTTCACGGTCAATGATGGCAGTCTTGCGGGAGTTGATGTTGTCAAGGCTATTCGAGAACACTGTGGGCATGGTTTTGACATTCCTGCTTGATATAAGAAGACATTGAATCTTCGATTTCTTCTTGTATTTCACAGGGTGCAGCCTTGACATCCACTTGTCATGCTTTATATTAAGCCCCAAGCACCCTTTGAGGCAGACGTTGGTGGGTCGTGAACTTAGGCGGTAGCCGGACCAGTGGAACACAATTGTTCCTCCCAACCGTCAAAACTGACACATGGCACCTGTTTCCTTATTCCAATTGGGTGTGACTAATAACCCGTAGACTGCCAGCTTCCGTGTTGTTTATGCTCTGAAAGAGGGAGTTTGGAGTGACTTCCAGGCCGCAAACCAGGGTAAGAAGTGTAGAGATTCTGGGTTGCACAGTTGTCACTCTGAGTCATAGCTAAGTCAAATCTGAACACACAGACATGACGTACATATTTTTTGTTTTAGTGACTTACATCATGAATAAACTTCCACAAATATCCTAATTATAATGGCCAATTTGCCATTCTTTTAATGGAGACTGTTTGCCAAAATATAAACAAATGTAGATAAAGAAACAGGGCCCATAGCTTACAAATAATTCTTGTCACCCCAAAGTCCCCAAGTAACAGGAACTGTAAGTCCAAAGGTTGGAGCATGATTGTTACCCAAATGAAAGTAAGACATATTATAATAATAAAAGTTACATCTATTATACTTATTCTCTTCATACTATTGTGCCAAGACATAACTCTGCAAGACTTGGAAGAATAACCAGAGCCATCACAAATGACTGAACATACCTGCTGTTAAACACATATCACATTGAAAGCACTCTTTTTTTTACAATTGAATCATTGTTATCACTGACAAAACTGATGAAATACCAAACTTCTCTCAGCCATACTTTTTTTTTGTATTCTTTTTTTTTTAGAATAGCATTTTCTACTAAATGCTATTGTTATTTGTTGCACAGACTTCATGAAGAATGTTTTTGTGTTACTTGTGTTACCTCTGGTCTTTATGCTATTCTATCGCTGTTTGTCTTCACTTTGTGGGACAGCAGACGACCTACACTGAGTCAAACTCACAGCTGGTAGTGATTTTATAGCTCTGCTGAAACAGTACTCTGTATCAGACAGACTAAGCACTTCAGACTTGTTATCTTTCCGCAGCCCTGATACTAAATTAACTTCTGCAAGTTCATCAACAGTTTTGGAACATCTGTGAGATTGTGTGCAGTATAACTCTACCAGATGTGCAAAATAAATCTGCCTTGTGGTATTTTTGCTGAAATACCGCTTTAGGGATCGATACGCACCTCCTCTGGTGATACGCAATATGTTCAAACCACCTGCCCCGGAATGGGACCGGAGAGACTGGCTCTGTAGACGCTGATGCCTCCCAACACCATTTCAAGGCAAATTAATGTGTGATTTGGAGTTTTTATGTGAGACTTCTTCTATTTTGTCCGAATGGATCATCACATCAGCTTCATGCTAGTGTTGACACATGCTTTTCATGCTAAATCACTGACAGTGAAAACCAGTTTAACTTCATCTGAAGCAAAAACAACAGCAGCAGCAAAGGAAGCAGCTACCTATCTTCTCTACAGATCAATGAATGGCCTTTTACCCTCCCGGCCTCACCTAACTGGAACCTTCCACCTGCACAGGTAACCTTAGGGCGAGGCAAACAGATACAAAGAATACATGAGGCATTCATTTAAGGTTTCTTAGTTTCTACTGAAAGTAGAATTCACCTAAGGGCACCAAATGAAGCAGAATTGAATTCACTGCAGAATAACTTCTCCCGTCCTCACTGCTGAGAACACCTAACTGTTATTGGATATCACAGGGTTCATTTCTGCCTGTTTCATAAATATATTTGTTAATAAACGCCTTTTCACTAGCGAGGGCCACACCACAACAATGTGACTTTATTTTTAAAGGTTTAATGAAATGACTGTTGAGTTGGATCGATCTCGTGTGAAGCACAGGAAGGTTTGGCTGTGCTTTGAATAAAATGGCTCGAGAAGAATCATCGCCTGAATCAGACAGGTTGATCTGCAGTTCTGCATCCATGGTGAGTTAATTATTTAACAACAATATTCCTAAAATGCTCCAAAGTCCTCCTTTCCTACTATATTCGTGTCACCAAAGAATCATCTACATTTTGTTTTGTCCTGCTGCTGCTGGTGCTTTCTTCTTCTTATTGTTTGTAAGATGTCACCTGACCATGTTGCGTCAAATAGAAAATTGTTCATTTTTTTTTTAAATTTCTTATAAATTGTTAACATTTCATGTAATCAAACATTGATTTGAATGTTTGTAAACTTTATAATCTTAACTAGAATTCAAAATAATCGGCTGCTCAAACATGCAGTTAATGTTAAAATGTGTCTTTATTCAAAATTTAAAATGAACCGAAAGTCAAAACGACTCGGTACAGACGACAAAAAGACTAAACGAACCAAACATAAACATCAGAAATACTGAGTGACATTATTTAACACAAACAAAACATTCTTTCATTCTATTATTGTTTCTAAATGTAGCACTTGAAGTTGTTCAGCATATTTAATGAAGACAATTTTTGGGTTGTATCCATATAAGTTGCTTCAGATGAAAATGTCATCATAATGTATACAATGCATTAGATTCATTTTGACTGTAAATCTTTTTTGTAAAATTGCAGTAAATGAAATTAATGAAGTTAATGTACATTTACAGTATCTCTACTGAATCAAGAGTACAGCGACCTACTGTTATCAAAGCATACAGTCATTTGCTGTTGTAATTCAAACAATATTTTACTGGCAGCTGTTTTACAAGCAAGATTGGGTAAAATG